AATGGCCAGGGAGGTCGCATTACAATTAGATGATTCATTGCTTTCTAACTTGTAAGTTTATGTTATCGCTTGTAACTTAAGCTGTTTGGATGTTTAAGAAATTTTGTTTTGTTTACTTGTTCGAATATTTTTGAAAATTTAATGCTATTGATAAATTGTCGAGCTTACGGTCCACTTCACGCTAAGTAGCCACGGTTGCTCCTTTTTTTTCAATTTTTTTTTATGATTGAAAGATTACTTGTGGCCCGAAGGCCTTTCCAGTTTCACCAGGACAGGTGGGCGAGCAAAGGCTCAGCCAGGAGAGATGGGATTTGCTAACAGCTGCCCGAGCGCCTACGAAGGAGACTAAAAGAACTCAAGAGCAATTGCTTTGCGAATGAATCTACTACCGGATCGGAATCGCGACCCACTGAGAAGATCCGGCGAGAAACTCAGCGGGCTGATGCATGAGTTGGGTTGCACATCGACCTCTTTGTCGAATTCGACGAGTACGGTTACCGGGGTTCCTAAGCCTACTCCTAGTGTTAGAGCTGAAGACGTCTAATGCAAAAGTTATTGGATCTGATAACGGTCGCTCGTGCACATCAGCAATAGAAGGGCACAGTCAAGCCACTACCCTACATACACCCCTAGAATCATCGGAGAAAGAACGAGATTACCAACCTTGAATCGATATTATTTATCATTAGAATGCGAAAATATTAATTTGCGTGTTTATTAATTTGTTCCAAAAACGATGGCGGTCTACGGCACAAACATTTCTCTATCAGTCGTTAAGACATACGTAATGGTGTAATTAAAGTTTTTATTTTATGTAAACGATAAAGTTTAGAACGTCGTTATAAAACAGAGGTCACGTATGAAGGCACCGGGTCAACGGTGTGAAATCGGTTATGATTTTTTATTTGCATTCGATCTGAGATAGTCCGGCACTGTGATTGCTGAGCAGAATCGAATTTAATTTGATTGTTACTATATAACGCTATTCCGGTTTGACAAAGTGATAGTCTGCATGTTTCCTATAGCGCTTATTTGTACTAGGAAATCTGAACAGGTCTCAAAGTGGAACACGTCCTTACGTATCCATCAGATCCAATAACTCTTGCATTAGATGCTCTAACACTAGAAGCAGGCTTAGAGCCCCTCGTCGAACTCGGCAAAGAGTCCGAAGAGCCACCTAACCTAAGCATCAAGCATAAGCACCCGCTGAGTTTCTGTACGGATCTTTTCAGCGGGTCGCGATTCCAATCCGGTAGTAGATTCGTTCGCGAAGCAGCTGCTCTTGAGTTGTTAAGTCTCCTTTGGAGGCGCTCGGGTAGCTGTTGGCAAATCCCATCCCTCCTGGCTGAGCGCGTGCTCGCCCACCTGTCCTGCTGAAACTGGAAAGGCTTCGGGTCCACCAGTAATCCTTCAATCATAAAAAAAACTAGGTTATCTGAATTTTACAGAACCGAGTTTTATTAGAAGCACTTATTATGCTTACTTTTGATTTATTAAAAAATTTACCAATTGCACATGAACTTCAAATATAAATTTCAATTTTTAATTACAAATGAAAACACAGACTGATTTCTATCCGTTATCAATCACGATATAATTGACACCCCATAAGTTCTAACGATATATTCGAAGCTAGAATCTCTGTGATTTTAATTTTCATATTATTAAATTCGCCGGATCGTTAAAAACTCCATCTTTGTCGTAATTAAAATGCTTTATCGCACCTCTTAATCTTTCAGAGAGAAGACATATCAATTCCGTATTGTCCACTGAATTTGAATATTCATTTTTAAAGCAATTTCAGAGGTTTGTAACATGGATATTGTATACTGCATGTTTCATGGACATATTTTTTATACACCGTGAAGAATCCGAAACATATTTATGTAGAAAAAATACTTATCCGCTGGTCATCACATTGTAAAACTGAGACTTAGAGCTCGTGTCTCGAGGTGGATGGCGGCATTTACGTTGTAGATGTACCATCCGGCTTTGGAATGAACTCCCCTCCACGGTGTTTTCCGAGCGCTGTAACATGTCCTTCTTCAAACGAGTATTGCGGAGAGTACTTTATGGTAGGCAGCGGCTTGGCTCTGCCCCTGGCATTGCTGACGTCCATGAGCGACGGTGACCACTTACCATCACGTGGGTCGTATGTTCGTCTGCCAACAAAGGCAATAAAAAAATAGAAAAAGAAAAAACACTATTATATTTCAGAAATAGAAAACTAATTCCATTCTCCTCTATCAACCGTCATCTCAACACTCACTCCTCTTTCTCTTATATCGTCATTCGCACACTCCATCCATGTCTTCTTCGGTCGACCGCTTCCTCCTTCAGATCATATAAAGTTTATAAAATATATAAAAAACCAACCAGGCATGAACCAAATGGAAGCGCAGCAACGGACATAGTAAATCTTAGAGCCGGCTATCAAAATACAATGGTGGGCTTCCTCTATCGTATCGAGATAACGCTGAATGTTAATTCAGGTCATGCTTACCATAAAAATGCATTATCATCCAAAAATTACAAACGAGTAAATGTCGTGTGGAGCACGAAATGGAGTAAAGCATCACAATTCACAGCGTTAACGCGGCCACCTACCTTTAATTAAGACATCTGTATGATCTGTATCTAAATACATAGTCTAATTTACCTTACAAAATTTCATTAAACAAACAGACATACATTGCAATCAAAAGCTTGTAACGAATGACGTAAAACGTCAGATTATGTACCTACATATCGTATATTTACCATAATGAATATATCATAATTCTAAACGATCTTATATTAAGTCCATGGTACATAAGTAGGCATCATAACGGTAATAATTACTATAGAGCAATTTGACCTTTTGACAAATAAACCGCAGTACCTATGGTTTTTAAAGCGACGTACTCTTTTTGTGATTTGCCTTTAAATTGTAGATGTGCTTTGCCTTTAATATCTACAAATATTTGTGAAAAATTGTAATTTTGTGTTTCTCGTATGTTTTTTTCTCTCGCGATAAATATTAATAACATGTGCATTTTGTATGCATGGTAAACGAGCTCATGGCTCGCATGATTTTAACTGTTCACGGAGCCCATGGACATCACATGAATACGCCGCCTTGACACATGAGGTCTAAAATTAAATTTTATTCTATAGCGGCTGTCCTATCTTTCAAAAAGAAACGCGCGACTTCGAGAAAGAAATGCGCAGGATGGTGGTACTTGCACGTGCGGGCTAACAATACGCCCTAATATAACGTCTGTAAAAAGACGTACTTACGTAATACTGTGTTCGACCTCTTGTGAGTCCGCGCGGGTTGGTACCACCGCCCTGCCTATTTCTGCCGTGAAGCAGTAATGCGTTTCGGTTCGAAGGGCGGGGCAGCCGTTGTAACTATACTTGAGACCTTAGAACTTATATCTCAAGGTGGGTGGCGCATTTACGTTGTAGATGTTTATGGGCTCCAGTAACCACTTAACACCAGGTGGGCTGCACGCTCGTCCACCCATCTAAGCAATAAAAAAAACTAGAAGACCAAGATTTGTAAAAAATATATCACAGATTCAGTACCTATAGTCGGATTTTTAATTAGACGAAGCCAGCTGACAGTAACTAATGTCACTTTGTGAAATAATGTTGCTATATTTAAAGTAATAGTGATGCGTTCAGTTCTCGTTCAATCACATGAATGAACAATGAGTGTGAAGAGTTAATCATTAATTTCAAACTATAAAAGAATATTATTTATATTTTACAATAAAATTGTATTAAAGTGCTCCAATATATGTTACTAGTAGTATCAGTTTTTTTATTTTCATTACCTACCCATAATTGTTATATTTTATACGTCTATAATTTCAACTATATGATGTATTGGAAATAGGACAGTCTTACAAGCTTCCTCGCAATGTTTTTCTTAATGTTTAAAACACTCGGNCTATAAAAGAATATTATTTATATTTTACAATAAAATTGTATTAAAGTGCTCCAATATATGTTACTAGTAGTATCAGTTTTTTTATTTTCATTACCTACCCATAATTGTTATATTTTATACGTCTATAATTTCAACTATATGATGTATTGGAAATAGGACAGTCTTACAAGCTTCCTCGCAATGTTTTTCTTAATGTTTAAAACACTCGATATCGGCAATTCGGCACACCAACTATTCACTAGACAATCGAGGCAATTTCATTAATTCAGGAGTTTTTTCATACGTTCACTTTGTCATAACACTATTTTTATTTCATCAAAAACTGACAACACAGTAAACGTCAGTTGACTTCGTCTAATAAAAAATCCGACTATAGTACCTAGGTTGGACGGCATCGCTCTTCCTATTTTTGCCGCGAAGCAGTCACGGGATCCTTTCTCCTAATTTAATTAAGACCTCCATGCCTAGAAGCAGGGAACGGTAGATAAGTCGTAATATCTATGTAACCGCTATCCGTCCATCCACTATATTTTCACCCATCTTATTTGGCAAAAGTATAAAACGAATGACAAAAAATAATTACATAAAATCTGAACTACGGATGCGGTTGTACTCACGAATTTCATTTTTCTAAAAACTGTATACTGCAAACAACCCTGCTTTTTTTTCGGAAAGTGGACGCTTTTTGTTGCTCATTCTGACTAGTTAGTAAAGAGAATATTAAAAGCAAATGGGGAATTACATGTGATCCGTTACACGATTGCAATCACAAAGAAATGTGAAGCAATAATTTTAATTTTGTGGAGAATAATAAATTACGAAAAATATAAGCTTAAATATAATATAATTGAAGATAGTTACGTAATACAGTTGGTATAAGATTTTTAATTATGATTTATTGAAGTTAGGTAAATTCTAATCTCTTTAATTGTTTACAGGAAATGGCGAAAGCCCTTCGAATACAATCGGGGATCTTCACAATATGTTCATGTGTGAAAAATTGCGCTATCTCTCTAAATGTCTGGAAACTAAAATGAAAAATAATTAAAGAAATATTGTCTTGATGCCTCAAGAGATGGCGCTACTACTATTTTTCTGCTTGGCCATTATTTCACTTTGCGTTTCCAATCCAATCGGAGAGATGTCGCTAGCCAACGTAACTCGATTGGCCACAGGCGATTTATTTTCATTGATTGGTAAGTAATGATTATTATAATTAAGCATGAATTAATTATTTGTTAATTAATTAGTAGTACCCGGCCCAAATAGTTGGAATATAATGCCCGTGTATTCTCTCGTGTTAAGTATTTATTTTTTAATGGCTGAGTAGTCGAAAATTCGTTGAATAGGTACTAAATTATTTTCGGGTTCGAAGCTAATCTTGAAGGCTAACTTACTGAAAAAACATACACACATCTGTTATCCAGTATTTATTTTTTAAGTATTCTATTTAGACAGCGCTATCAGATTTAACCAATTTAGTTACAACTGACTCAAAGGTACTATTTTGATATCCTATTAATATTCCAGACAGTTTAATGCTACCTATTCCAAAAATTTGTATTATTAGGTACCTTTAAAGAGAAAACATGTAAAGTAGACTTTTTACTACAGATTTAATTAATCGTTCTACTTGAATCGCAAATATAAACCCAAAAACTTTGATAATTATTAAACTAACAAATTATTCTGTAAATATTTTAAATAGATAACAAAATAAACGAAAATAAACGAAAATCTTTAAAGCATCATTTTTAAAAAAAAGCTTTCATAAAGTTAGACAATAAAACAGAATGAACTGATTTAATATAGCATAAAGCTGAAATTTACCTAGCATTTTTGGTTTATTTTAAAATGAACTAATGATGTTTTATGAATCATCTTTACTACTATTAATAAACAATTTGAGAGCTTAGATTTTTAAATACACTTTTTTTCATTCTTAAAATGCTTATGGAAATAAATTTAGTGAATTTTAATATCCATTTTATTAGTTAGTAGAGATGGTTGTTGCTATAGTTTTAAATCTGGGTAGTATCCACGCTACGTTTTATAGTTTAAAGTGATAAAAGGGCGCCATGAACATCTAGTGGTTGGTTTTAGGAACCGATTGTGGTCCCACACGTTGTATGGAGATTTCCCACGGGACGGCGTTAGCCGCAATGGGTGGCGACAGTTCATCATGCATGTGCCGATGCCGCCGACAAAATCCGGTTTTCCGCGAGGATCAGCGCGTGTGCATCAATCAACTTGATGGTATTATTTCCTTGATATTGCTCTAATCAACTCTAATCACTACATAGTATAAAACAAAGTCGCTTTCTCTGTCCCTATATCCTTATGTATGCTTAAATCTTTAAAACTACGCAACAGATATTGATGCGGTTTTTTTTAATAGATAGAGTGATTGAAGAGGAAGGTTTATATGTATAATAACATCCATTACATAGTGGAGAAATCAATAATAAACTAGATTTTCCGAAGCGAAGCGAGGGCGCGTTGCTAGAGTATTATTAAAATCGAGACACTAATTTTACTGTACCTACCAGACTTCTGTCACGGAACATTTGGTCATTCATATATTTAGATGGACTACACATATAATAGATTTTTATTGTTTAGTTTACTTCTATTACGTTAAAATTGAAATCACGATGTTTTAAAATGCATGTGATTTGTTGAAAGTAAAATATGAATAGAAACAGGGCTGTGTTTTACTCCATCTATACTAAAGAGGAAGTATGCTATCCAAACGCGTTAGTTCATAATATCAGAAGATAGCGCTACTGACTGTGCTAAAAACTGATATCCTGTCTATGTTTATTATAAGTCTTTCAAAAAATTATTTAATTATCGGGACAGGTGCACTTCGAAAATTACCAATACATTTTTGTTTCATCATTTCAGAATGTCTTATGGCGAAATTCGGTCGGGACGGAACAAAACCTCTGATACCGTTCGTCTTTCTTCCATTGAAAGGACAAATTATTTATCCTTCAAAAGAAATAATATTCACAGGTGAATATGGGTTTTAATAATCGTCGCTTTAATAAAAAAAAAAAAAAAAAAATTCCGATACCGGGAATCGAACCCGAGCCTCCTGGGTGAGAGCCAGGTATCCTAGCCACTAGACCATATCGGATTGTATTAAGAAGTCGAAATAAAGATTCTTATACATTATCTTACAGATGTTGAAGATGCCATTTGTGCGGTAACAAGTGCTCAATACCTAACTGCGTCAGGATGGGTGAACCTACGTGACGTCATAGACAATGATGTCCCATTTGGCTTGTATCGCGATGAAGGCAGCACGTTCTTGCAGGTAAAGCACTAATTTTACTGGTGGTAGGATCTCTTATGAGTCCGCGCGGGTAAGTACCACCGCCTTACCTATTTCTGCCGTGAAGCAGTAATGTGTTTCGGTCTGAAGGGTAGGGCAGCCGTTGTAACTATACTGAGATCTTAGAACTTATATCTCAAGGTGGGTGGCGCATTTACGTTGTGAATGTCTATGGGCTCCAGTAACCACTTAACATCAGGTGAGCTGTGAGCTCGTCCACCCATCTCAGCAATAAAAAAAAAGAACCTCAACCACCACGAACACTGCACAGAAAGTAGACACGGGCTACTGCAATAATAACGTAAGGGAGTTGTTTTCAAATTTGGGGCCAAAAGCGAGTTATTTCATTTAATTCACATAACATTAACTTTAACGTAATTATAAGTATTAATATAATAAAAAGTAATTTCAGTAAATAAGTTGTCATGACAACAGGCACGTGGTCCTATAACTATATGTATTCATAAACATTGTTAAATTAATAAATTGATTGTGCTGAAGCATTTTTTATTCTGAATATGCCTAAACTCCTCCTTGCGTCGGTTTCCTCATTACTGAGGGTCGTGGTCATGGTCTTGAAACAGTTTAAATGTTTCTCTGTCCATGACTCTCTTGGGATGTAATTGTGGTGGGTTCCCACGTCCTTCCACATCAGTATTTCGAAGGGATTTAGTCCTTCACGGCAACTGGTCCCGCTCCGGGTCTCTGGTTGGATCCGGGGGTTGGGTTATTTCCCGCCGCCCAGTGCTCGGCGTTGACGTTTTACGGTAGAAATGTCCAGCTCTACTCAACCCTCCTCTTTTCTCATCCGGGCTTGGGACCGGCAATGCCTAAACAAAAAAAATATATATGGAAAATTAGAGAAAGTTTAAATTCATGAAATCGTTACTTTTTTTGGCCGCAAAATTGAAAACGAACCAAGGTACTTTTTCGGTACAAATAGGCAGTGCAGCCGTATCAACTTGGCCGAATTCGGGACAGAACACTAAGAGCCGAAAACCAATAAAATCCCTTTGGAAATTATAATTTTGGTCTTCGAATTGATTCTTAAAAGAGCCGCCCACCACACAGATAAGAGACCACCAATGAGGGTAAACATTTTTCATAACATGTACCACCCAAAGACTGTACGTTTCCATTTTATTCACAAAACTTATCAGTGCATAGGTAATTATATTCGCTGCTTAATATGGCGAAGCTTAATGATCCAATTTAGTGTTTGTTATAATTATCATAATGCTGTATTAAAATTTGAAGCGAATAAGAAGATCTTTATCGAAAACTGGACATCGTAATGTGGAGCAAGTCTGTGTTTACTCAGAATATATAGAGATATAGAGTTGCTAGATGCGACATTTTAATATTTTTTTTAGAATGTTCGTTGACCTTTTCGTCTGCCGTGAATTTATATATGTCGGTTTGGTTTGGTCGTCAATTCGTAGACGTCATAGTTCTAGTACTTATCTGTTGAATGTTTTTTTTAAACTATCGAACTGTTTCAGTTCATTTTAGAACATATACTTTTTTTCTCATTATCAGAAGGCAGATTAGCCTACAATAATAGTAATTTACCGTCTCTTATGGACGACAGCAATTATATCCATGTCACATCTTGTAATTCAATGTTGTCTCGAAGTATATCTTCTAGTACAGAATCGACATAGCGAATATCTAAATCTGTGGTAGATCCATAAGGCGTTTGTTTAACTTTTCGAGCTCATAAACAGTTTATTACTGTCTGCGCCAAATGCAGACCGAACGTAAGGAAGGACGCGCTATAAAATGTATTCACACTAAAGAAATGCATTATGTGTCTTTTTGTACGTCACGAGTATGTTATGCTTTTTTTAAACTTGAAGATACATGGTGATGGCAAATACAAACTGCAGTTTGGTCTACCCATAAATGACATTGTTTATGTATTAAATATTACGAACAAAAGTGTCGTAATACTCTAAAGCTTACTGATGGTAGGACGTTTTGCGCACGGGTAGGTACCACCACCCTGCTCATTTCTGCCGCGAAGCAGTAATGCGCTCTGGTATCGAGGGTAGGGCTGTCGTTTTACCACAGAACTGAGATTTAGAACTCATGTCCCAAGGTCAGTGGCGGTATTTACGTGTTGAGCTTCGTTCACTTGACTGGGCTATAACAAAAACAAACGACCCCACCAATGCAGCCTGCAGTCGTAACGCGACGAAGGGCTCGACGAGTGAATTAACCCATAGACACAGCCCACAAAGTTTCTTGCCGGATCTTCTCAGTGGGTCGCGTTTTCGATCACGTGGTAGATTCCGCGAAGCACTGCTCTTGCTAGGGTCAGTGTTAGCAACACTTCCGATTTGAGCTCCGTGATCTCACCTAAACGCTAAGGTAAAGCTGATATAGCCTCTCAAGGCTATCAGCATAGGTAGGAAGAAAAAAAAACCAGTCGTAAATATTTGTAATAAATATAATCCCGAAGAGCAACCGCGGTGTTTTATTAGTGGTCCAGTGTGTTTCGTGTTTCGGTACGGTTCGGGTAGTTGTCGCCAGCGGAACCACTACGCGTGAAGAGGCTCTCGGAGTAAACTTGTTTTCGAGAGATACTTTAACATTAAAAAACGTTATAGCTTGGAACGTTTACGAAATTGGGGTAAAAACGTTCTGTGTGCTTAATGCGAGTTTTTTAACGTTCTCGATAGCGTAAAAGTTAACTCTTGTATGTAGTTGGAACAGCGCCCCTAGCGGAAAACGTAGGCAAGCGTTCCAACTACATACAAATCTGAGTTAACTTTTACGTTATCGAGAACGTTAAAGAACTCGCACTCAGCATACTGTTTCGAAAGGTAAGTGTCGACAGCAATCGGCTCAATGGTCGAACAACTTCTCCGTGGATGCATTAGTTGGTTAATAGCTTCTCAACTTCTTGCCGTGGATCAGACTACATGGCTTGATAAGTAATTATAAACGAGTTTTGGTAAATCATTACTTCAAGCACCGGTCACCGTTCTCGCCGAACCCGTCGCTTGCGACGAAGGGCTCGACGAGTGAATTAACCCATAGACACAGCCCACTGAGTTTCTCGCCGGATCTTCTCAGTGAGTCGCGTTTCAGATCCTTGCTAGGGTCAGTGTTAGCAACACCTCCGGTTTGAGCCCCGAGAGCTCACCTACATGTTAGGTCGATGCTGATATACCCTCTCCAGGCTATCAGCATAGGTTAAAAAAAGAAGGTAAATCATGAATATCCATGAAATATTTTTTACCAGCCCGCAAATAAAATAGTCACACTCTTAAGGTTATTAATAAAAACGAAACAAATAAACGGGCAGCGTCCGTGGTCTAATAATAAATAATTAGGCGATAAGTTAAGCGGTCGTCGTTATTTCAATGTAATAAAGACTACGATCCCGTGTGTACTATAAAGAAAATGAACAGCTCAACTCTGGGTGTATTCTGAAATCTATTGCAGATGATCTATACTATAAAATTTTAGTTAAACTGAAAGCTATTGCATTTAAGGATGATTATCGTTAAACGATAAAACTACAATAAAGGCAGCAGTAATAAGCAAGCTTCCTTCATTCGCGTTTTAAATATTCGCAGATTAAAAAATGCGACACAATTCCTATATTCGCGACTAAAGATACCTTTATACGCGGATCTAATCGATAAATCGGTCATTACACATCGATAAAAGGATTCTAATATGTAGGTACATATCCAACCGAATATCCTTATTAAGCGCGTCGTCAAATAGAGTAATAAAAAAGCAAAATAGACTTTATTACAACTACGCTTAAAGTATGTTGTTAAATGATATCGCCGGTGTTTTGGTTTCGTCCGGTTACCGCGTTACCATTCCATATTCACCGGTTTCTGTATTCGCGGCATATTTACGGAACCCATAATCCGGCGAATTAAGATCTTTTACGAGTACTGTACTTATGTTGTACTCTAAAAGCAACATTTGATCCCAAAGCAACTGTAATATTTACGAGACGAAGTCTCAAGCGTTATCCGACACATCCACCTGCATAAGTCTACCTAAGATTACCGCGATACAAGTTGCTATCACAAAACGAATCATGGATGCAAAGTCATGTCGTTACACTGCCTACATGCCATCACAGTTAAGAACCGGCTCTTACTTAGAAATGAAATATAAATTTACATGTACTGTTTGCAAAATTACTGAACCTAGAAAAAAACGCTGAAGACATTTTTGTGCCAATCGTACCGTAATCACGTTGAATGTGTTGTCAACAAATCAAAGGCCATTGTCGGGTTTTCTGGCACTCGTATTTAGAGTTATTTTTTTCGAATAATCTTATTTACAATGGACTGCTAACTACACTGCTGCCTACTTTTATCATAGACCAATCGTGTCTGCGGTTTTCCAATTATTACCAATTCATTTTCAAAAATATTTATTGTCATATTTTTTTACTGCTTAGATGGGTGGACGAGCTCACAGCCCACCTGGTGTTAGGTGGTTACTGAAACCCATAGGCATCTACAACGTAAACGCGCCACCCACCTTAAGATATAATATAAGTTCTAAGGTCTCAAGTATAGTTGCAACGGCTGCCCCACCCTTCAAACCGAAACGCATTACTGCTTCACGGCAGAAAAAGGGAGGGTGGTGGTACCTACCCGCGCGGACTCACAAGAGGTCCTACCACCAGTAAAGTACCACCAGATTCTTAAAGAAAATACGTATTATTGATGTAAATCTCTGCGATTTCGATTCTTTCAATACAAAATATTGCCATATCGGAGTGATTGATCTTGTATATTTGGCTAGTGAATACTTGGCACAGTCCTCTGTGGCTACAGTTAAAATGATATGAAATTTAATAAAGATAATGTAATGCATTGATGGAATGCATACCGAATTATTTGTTCTTCTTTGTTCCTTGACAATTGACATGTAGATTCGTAGAAATCGTATGATTACGTAAAATCTACATGTCAATTGAATTGTCCCGAGAATCATTCACCCGTTTTGGGGACTACCAGCATAAAAGAAAGTGACAGTAGATAAAAAGAGAAGGGAAACGAAGAGAAACTGTTTATTTGGATTTCGTGTTGTAAATGTGACAATACCCGCATAAAACTGAAAAAAGTCCTTTGCAAAATTATAGAAACGTTTAAAGTTTATACTTTTGTGTTAAATAAATATTATAGTTTAGATAGTTGTTAATTAGTAAAACGATTATAATCCATAATAAACCTATTCGTATTTTTTGCAATGCTTTTTATGTTATATTATCTATCTATATGTATAAAAGTGAATTGCTGTTCGTTAGTTTCGCTAAAACTCGAGAACGGCTGGACCGATTTGGCTAATTTTGCTCTTGAATTATTTGTGAAAGTCCAGAGAAGCTTTACAAGGTAGATAAATATGAAAATGCTCGGAATTAAATAAAAATAACAATTTTGTTTTTCCTTTGATGTGTCCTCCGTCGGACGGATTCCTTTTGTTTGTTTTAAATTTATTTTATACATTTTACATATTATACAGTTTAGGTCTTTTATTAGGTCAGCTAGTTATGCATATTATTATGTAGAATATTTAAATGATAAAACAATAAATTAAAATATATATATATTTACCGCAATTTATTCAGAACTGCTAATTAGGTATTGATCCGAGATTTTTGTAGAGCATATAAATATGCAACATTATTTTAAGTATCGAAAACCCATACAGTCCTCATCGTGAAATTAAAACATTGGTACATATTATATTCAGATCAACGCCTTTCCGAGACAGTATTTTATTACGCTCGTGTCAATGTAATTGAGATGGGAGATAAAAAAACTAATTTGCTGCAGGGTACGCTACTGCTAAAATCTCATTTGCTTTCGTCCCATCATCGAGGCGTTAACATAAAGTATTTTGATAGCGTTATTAAAACGAACCCACCTACCATTGAAAAGTTTAGTAATTGGACTACCTGCACACGTAATAATATAATTTAAGATTAAATTTAAAACCGTTGTATATCTCGCGACAACAATGATGTAACAGTATGATTTTTCTTTAACCTCACAATTGATACCAAATAACTGTTTTTCATTTTTATAATCCTGACACCAGCTGAAATATTTGTACGCTGGAAGTGTTGAAATGCGACACGCGGCTGATGAAGTTAGTGATAATGGCGATGTCGGCAAAGGAACGATTTGTATGATCTGTCCAAATATCTTATACATTTAGATGCGGGTTTCTTGATAAATGCGCAAGACGAATGCGAAGACGTATTTTTCAGTGAACAACTGGCCCCGCAGGAGAATGCTATACATGTTAACAAATTACTTGTACGTTTTTAAAGTTGATTTGTAACGCGTTAATGTTTTCGAGTGTTTTATTTAATCGGCCCAGGGTACGATTTATTAATCCGTTAAGTGTCGGTTTTTATCTTTGGATTCCCAAAATAGTGGTGAAAAAAAAAACGATTGTATTCTTCCCAAAATAATATTTCGTATATTAAGTAATATTTTATTGACCATATAACGCATCAACGAAACATTATCAATTTAATTTCTTAGTTATATCGTCTTCTCGCATTAAAACGGTATAATCTCAAAACTTACAGAATTTTACAGGAGAGTGTTTTAAAGGTTTATCATATTATGGTATTTTTAATATTAATCATCTATGCAACATTAATTTTTTAGTTTTTACCAATTACATTATCTGTCTTTTAAAGTAAGATAAAATTATGTATTAATTTTGTTTATAGTAGTAAAAATATAGGTAAACTAGCGACCCGCCCTCGCTTCGCTTCGGAAACATTAAAACACACATGAAACAAAAAAAATAAAAATAAACAAATAAATAAAAAAAGTAGCCTATGTTCATCAGGGACAATGTCGGCTTCTAATGGAAAAAGAATTTTTCAAATCGGTCCAGTAGTTTCGGAGCCTATTCGAAACAAACAAACAAACAAATCTTTCCTCTTTATAATATTAGTATAGATATAGACTAAAAAAAATAATCTAAAACTAAACTACGCTCTTTTGACAGTACTTATGAGAAAAATACTGGTGATACCAAATTATTCCGCATATTAACTCGATTTCGAATTTTTTTTGAAATAGCACACCTTTAATGCGAAAAGACGATATTATGTAGTAACTCAAATTAAACGACACTTCAGTAATAGGTAGCAAAAGGTGTAACACCAAGGTGTAATTTTATTAAAAAACACTCTAGATCTACGCATCTGTAAACAAGAGTCTACTAGCTATTGACAAATTAGGCGATTTGCCGTCAATCACGCCTTAATCCACATTTTTTAGTAAGATTTTAAAATAAACTAGTGGTCCCGCAGTAGTCGAAATTCGACTATAATGTTAATAGAAATTGTATGTTTAAACATTATTATGGTTCTATTGTCAAATACTATTTATATTTGTAATATAATCACAGATTTCGCCAAAACTTACACTATAGATAAATAACATTAAAGACAAACAATATTAATCTATTCGGAATGTTACCACAGACTTTAAACATTAACAAAAGTTTGACAATTGACAATAAACAAAGAGTATAATTATATGTATGTGTGTGTGTGTGTGTCAAATACATGGTAGTGTGTGTATGTTTTTTTTATTGATTTAATGTATGTTTTAAATGCATAATTTAAAAAAAAAATTAGCATTGTGCACTCCTTCTCTGTATTCTCTATAAGTGTGGGAAAATTCATACTCCTCTGTCAGCGCAGTTTTCGTAAAAAGGGGTACAAAGTTTTTGCTTCACGTATTAATATATAGATAATTGCAGAGCTTAGAAATACTTATTTTTATTGCAGTGGCGTGGTTCGGCGGCCCTGCACGCTCGTTTAGAGGGTCGACTTGTGGCAGTCCATGTATTGTGTTCAGGATCATCATCTACACGACTTGCAGCGTCGTGTGCAGCATTCCGTGTGGCTGGCGCTTCACAAAATGGATTACTCGGTTAGCTCAATTATAAAATACTAGGGCTGTACAATTTAATCGGTCAAGCCGGCTAAAAATTCAGCTAAACTAATTAGCTAGGTAACCGATAGGCTTACCTAATTTAACGGTTAAGCTAATTAGCCAACGGCTAACCGACAAATTTTTTTTCAGCTATTCACTGATTCCTTATCTACAGCCAAGTTCAAAAAATAATATTGAGGCTCTTTTTTGTATAAAGAAACAATAGTCGCGAAATTTACTTATTTAATATTTTGTCAATTATTTAAATAATTATGTTTATTATAAATAATTATGTAAATATAAATAATAGCTATCAAACTCAAAACGCCATAAGTTTCCTAAACTGGCTAGGCTGGCGAGGAGATACTTAGGTGTCCCAGCATGAAGTTCGCCCTCTGAAAGGGCTTTTTCTACAGCTGGAAATATTATTAGCTCAAAACGCAACTGTTTACTACCCGAAAATGTTAATTTATTGATTTTTCTCTATCAAAATAGAAATAATACGGAAAACAAATACAATAAGTAATTAATTTCAGGGCCATTTTCATAAATAAGATATTGTTAAGTGATACTTAATTAATGAAATAAATTACTTTCGTTTTTTACGTTATTTTTATCATAAAAACCAATATTATTATTTTTTGAACCTGTCTGTAGGTGAGGAATCAGTGAATAGCTGAAAAAAAGAATTAGCTGTTTAACTCGTTAGCCATTGGCTAACTAGCTGAGCTAATTCAGTTAACCGGTTAAATTAGCTAAGTCTATCGGTTAGCTAGCTAATTAATTTAGCTAACTTTTTTAGCCGGCTTGGCCAGTTAAATTGTACAGCCCTATAAAATACACGAGAAATAATTAAATAAAGAAGAATTCTTAATGTAACCATGTCGTTCTTTCAGATGTTCGGTCAATACCGTTTCATGCGGGCGAGGCAATTCCCGCGGATTCTACTCCCCAGAGTCAGGGTCTGAGCGTCTTAGAATCACTAGCAATTGGTGTTTGCGTGTTGATGCTGATTTTCGTTTATGCAGCAGGAATTATATTTTACATTCATTACAAACAAAGACAAAAGAAAAAACAGAAAGATGTCGAACAGAACATGTCTGATAATGGTTCCGCTATGGAACCTAGACTTGACATGAGCAACGTGGTAAGTCACAGTAATTTTGTTTAGGTATTAGTTTTTACCTTGATTGATATCATAAATGTGAAGTTTTTGTATTGTTGGATCTTTTTTGCGCATGCAAAATCACGACACTTTTCCCATCGCATCGCCCGCCATTGGAGTAGAGTCCATACTACCTAGAACCACTTCGTTCGTCCACAGTGCGTTTCCAGATATATTTTTTGCGACGTACCATCCGGCTTTGAAATGATCTCTACTGTACGGTGTTTTCTGAGCGCTATGACATATCATTCTTTAAAAGACGCCTGTGGAGAGTACTTAACTGTAGGCAGCGGCTTGGCTTTGTCCCTGGCATTGCTGACGTCCTCGAGCGACGGTAACCATTCAAATGAAAATTGTCTATTATCATGGTAAATGATACAAAATGACCTGAGTAATGCCAAGTAAATCTGTTACAAGAAATATTATGTATAAGACAGTATATACTATTACGTTCCAAGGGATATAAATTTAATGTGATTTTTAGATGATGAAGACAAATCCGTTATTGAAGTTGAATGGTATGGGAAACGATTTTTTTAACAGTGAAAATACCATGTCTGATGTCAGCGAACATATGGATGGTACCATGGATCCACCGCATAACAATTCTCATAAAGTACGTAATATAATTAAACTTAAGAAGCTTAAGTTCCGCTTTATGATAAGATCTATTATGAACAGTCTAAATTAGTTTCAGAAAACGAATTCAAACGTAATCTCAGCCATGGTTCATTCTCGTCGCAAAAAGCCTTCGAGACCTTCGATTAGGTCTGTGTCAAGCTCAGAACATTATCATGGACGATTACAGAAACGGGCTACTTCACCTGACACCTTTGAAAGGGCTCCACATTCAGATTTGTCGATAGTGGATTGCAGCGTTGAGAATAATTCGTTCTCTAGTCGCCAACACATACCTTCGAATGGCGAAACGGCTCTGCGAAGAAAACTTTATTTCAATCCAGTTTTTTTTGAAACAGAACATTTAAAGGTGATATTTATTGATTCACAACTAAAATACATTTATCTTCCTTATCATTTATTTAATTCGTAATTGACAAAAAATATGACAGATTTAGAATTAGTAGCAAATAAAATTTCTGCCATTTTATTATTCTATTTGCCGATAATTTGCCTGGATGATTGGATTTGCCCATCAGCTCCTCCTCCTTGCGTCGTATTCCTCACTGCTGAGGGTCGTGACCACCCTTTTTTATCACCTTCGCACGCACGATCTTTCTCCATCTATTCTTGTCTCCGACGGCCAATCAGCTCAATGTCCCGATTTTAAATAGAGCCCATTGACATCATAAGTGTATACCGCGACATATACCTTGATATAAAAATCGAAGTCTCAACTTTATTGTATTCCGACTGGCAGGTAAGATGAGTAGTGGTACGTTCCCGTAGAACTCAATAGGTTTGTTCCTAATGTAAAAGAACTACCTAATCCGGTGACACTAATTGATTATTTAAAATTTTCAGAACCCCCCACCGGCTGCGATAGATTTTTTAGAAAAAATACGAGAAGTAATGACGATTGCGAAAGATAAAATGACTTCAAAAAGGTTCGTCCCAATGCTTTCGGAAATACCCGAAGAAGACCTTTATCACACGATAGATCTTGGTTGGGATATCCCGTGTGCTCGACGGGGTCGAAGATTTAGTGCGATTAGTCTCAAGCAAGAAAACAGTCGAAAGGCCATGCATTGTGGAGGCTGCCCAGGATGCGACAGTAATATCAGACCACAAAAAGCCGTAGCTTTAACAAGATCGAATTCTTGTAAATCTTGCGTAAGTGATGATTATAAGCAAAGAATAGTGAAAAAATGGTTAGAAGAAGTTGCGACTCCATCAAAGAAATCACCAGTGAAATCTGTTGCAAAGTTCAATGGCCCTCCAAGAGTAGTAGAATCGAAACTAAAGGATCCGGTGCGTCCAAAGTCGGCGGAACCACTAACAGTTAAATCGAATACAACAACTAAAGATACCACAGAGAATGTAGTCGAAGAAAATGTTAAAAATGATAATTTAAGAAACGTAAAGTCAACCGAAGATACAAAAACTGCTAACAAGCCATCGAAACCCAAAGAAAGTCCAATTGAAGAGAAGAAAATCAGTAAACCCACTATAAGTCATCCTAAGCCAATATCACCAAATTTGATAGTCGAGAAGAAAAGTCCATCTAGTCAGACTTCTAGACATATTAGAAAGAAATTGCCTCCTCCTCCTCCACCGCCAGTAAAACGACCCGAACCGCTTAAAAAGGAAGATGTGGAACCATTAACAAAGGATGTTAAAGTTAGAATGGAAGCAGTAATTCGTGAATTGAATACTTGTGCAAGTGTTGAACCTTCGGAACTAGAGGACATGAAATTGGAAACAATTTCTCCCATCGCTCCCAAGATTGTTATACCTGTGATTGCTGCAGATTCCTACTACAGCGATGATAACATGTTAACACTGGGTAGAAATAAAGAAATATATATGAATCCACAAGAAGAGTTTATGGATTACGATAGTTTAGAACGTAGTTTAGTGAGGAGAAGAAGATTTTCACTTGCCTGTGGTACAGAATTATTCCAAAACGAAATGGTAACTAGCGGAAATAAGCAAGTCAATTACGGAAGGTTAGCCAAAAGCTGGCGTGATGTTAAAAAAGCAGTCGAAGAAGAGAATAAATTAAATGCTCATGTATTTGGTCAACTTGATAATCGAAGTCAATCCATTAGTGAAATTTCAGTTAATACATCAGAACCAATGTATGATAACACGTCCAATCCGGGTCCTTTGACAATCCAAGTAAGAGGTTCTCCAATTGAAACTAGGCGTAAAATCAAAGATGACTTCGATCCTGACACACTTGATAGGAAACCTAAGCATGAAGTGAAGAAACGAGTCGAAAAGATACTATTAAAATCAGCTGGTAGTTTCAAATGTAAGTCAACGCCTTCCGAGAATGATACTTACAAAAAATCCCCTCAAATGGCAATAACTCAGAAAATCGGTAATTTGCGACAAATTTATGAAGCTAAAGCTAAAGCACAAGCAGAAGAGGTGCAATTTTATAACAGGCGTGGTAGCGTGCCTTGCGGTGGTCAAGATATTCAAGCTTTCATGCGTTCGCTTAAAGCACCTGACTTAATAAGACACATCGAAAACCAAAAAGAGAGACCTCCAGTCCCACCAAAGCAAAGACGCGGCATTGATTTATCTCCAAAATTCTCTAATATGACTCGTGAGAGTCCACCAGGTGAACGTCGACGTGGCACTGAAGAGAAAGATCGTTTTTCACAATATTCGAGAATGGAAAACTTAAACGCTAGAAGATCAGGTCGTCGGTCGGCTCGTACTAGATCTAGGCGAACTGACCTAAGAAGACTATACAGAACGGAAGATTCAGGATATATGAGTACTGATTCCAACGAGTCTAAAAGAAGAGCCAGTTACTTAATGCAACTTAGACCTAAAATAAATTTCCCGGAGCACTCTCCAGCGGCTATAGTGCGTACCGTCACGAAGGCACCAGTTACACAGGTGGAATCAGATACAGACGATTTGGAGTCATTGTGCGATGGCCGAAGTGAATCAGGTGGCGAGAGCGTGGAAACGGATTCAGTGTTTTTCGGTAACTTCGACGACTCGAAGGAGATGTTGGCCGAATTAGGTTTAAATAACTTCGAGACACACAACAAAATATCTGGAGGCCACGAACAAATAGACTCCGGCTATATGGGGGAAACGAATATTATTTTGAGTGGTGACAGCGACTCAGAGCACCGAAGCGTCATTTCGATAGTTACCGGATAGTCGCACGTCCGCCTCTTCTAAATTATATGAACTCATATTTACACACAATTGAGTGTTAGTTTAAAATGTAGTCCTTGAGTATTAGATAGGTAGTCATTATAGCTGTCAATTGCCAACCAACTTTAGTCTTTAGAAGTCTGAAAGATTATAGAGAGTAGATTTTTATTCTGTCAAAGAATATTTCGAATGTATGTACCTTTAGAATAAATTAGTGCCTCCTTTAAGTTTAATACTTAGTCCGAATCATACCTCACTATTTTATTAATTATACTTATTATTGTTTACCTAACTCTTTATTTTATCTCGTAAGCAGGTTATGTTGATACAACAAGTTATTCTTGCAATATAGTTTAATGTAAACTTGATACTGTATTCAAATTTGATTTTAAGAAGGTAACATTATCAATTTACGTCTTAATTTCTACATGCCATTTTATGTTTGTTTACTGAATGATTTTGTTTGTTGTAAAAAGTGTGTAAATAAATTTATTTAGACGTTTATGTAAAAATTATAGTCGGCCGGTTGTGCAATTAAATTTTATAGTGTTTCCGTGGATTTTAAAATGGATCGGAATTAAATATTACGGTGCTGGTACGAATAAGAGGCTCATTAATTTATTGATTTTTTTTTATTATTAAGGAAAAGAATAATATAATTAGTTGAATAAAAAGTTGGTTGGACGTGTGTAGGTATACAGTCAAAATATTTTCTTTACTTTGTCAGCAAAGTTATATTTGAAAATGTTTTGGATTTTTATTAAAGCGTTGTGTTGTGTTAAAATAAACTTTATTTGTTTTACTACTTTTATTTGACAGTTTGTAAATTAAAAAAAAAACTACCCAAGATTATTTATGAGAATTTTGACATTGTTGCTTAAATGGGAGAACGAACCGGATCCAATGCCGCCATCCACCTTGAGACTTGAGGTTTATGTCACATCAACTGTAATTACGCAAATTTCTAACATGTTTGTTTTAATTAAATATTATTATTCCTTTATCGTCGAAGCCATTCACGATCAAGAGTTAAGTAAGCATTTTACATTAGAAAAAAAAACCTGCCTGCGGAATTTGAACACGGGCTTAGTAGCATCGGTCGATATGAGTACCCCAGGCGTCTTATCCTTTAAGCCACGACTGCTTCCCGACAAATTGTGTCTTTGATTAATCACTCCAAACAAAATTCGTCGCCTGTGCTTAGTAGTTAGCAATTATGGTGCGGCTCACCCAACACTTACTAATTTAAACTATGAAAACTCAATTCTAAGGCACAACGTTTGACCCACTCCCCAAACGAGACCTCAAGAATTAGATCTGCTTTTGGTTAAAATCTTTTGCATGCGTATTAGCATTTATGTGTGGCCTTATATTATATATTACATCTCTTTCTTGGAATGACAACACCAAATATCACATTATTTATGTTAAGAAATTGTATACTAACGATGATTCAATAAACATCTATTATATCGTTTCAAATCACTACATAGTATAAAACAAAGTCGCTTTCTCTGTCCCTATATCTGTCCCTATGTATACATAAATCTTTAAAACTATGCAACGGATTTTGATGCGGTCTTTTAAAAGATAGAGTGATTGAAGAGGAAGGTATATATGGATATGTATAATAACATCCATTAAATAGTGGAGAAATCAATAATAAATTACAGTTTCCGAAGCGAAGCGAGGGTGGGTCGCTAGTTTGTAATAATAGATAAATCGACTTTTACCTTTAAAATTGAGATGTATACTGCTTTTAATTAAATAGACAGTTTTTTTGCGCTATAAACACAAATTCGATCATAAAATAACCATCGCTTATTTAAAGCATAACATTATCATTACGAAACTTTTATAGTACTTAAAAAGAACATTCCGAAAGACTGTTAAATAAATTTTAATTTTAATATCGCAGGCGTCATCGGTCGGAAGCCTTTGCCTCGAATCGTCCATACTGTTATATTACTTTATTAAATTAAATTTAACAGTCCGTATTGGTTCGTAGATGACCGTAGTGATATGAAATTTGATAAGCTCGTTCATAAAAGGTGAAACAATAAATACATTGACGTTTTAACTTTCCGGGAGATGAAGAAATAAGTTTACATGGACTTTTTATTTTCTCCTTTTCTCCCTACCGTAGATTGGGGGGAATCGGGACCCTTCCCAAATCCAACACAAATTTTCAATAGTTTTTCTTAGGGTAATTAATACCAATAAAATTGAGATTAAAATGTTTCCGGAGGCTTCAATTTTAGAATACGATGCGTTATTATACATAGTTCATTACAAAATGTATACAAAAACTGAAAAAACTAGCTTGACCCGATTCAGCTTGGCTTTGGGGTGAATCAGGTTACGTAGAGACAATAGAGTTTTTCGATAGGGCTGGCACTATTTAGTTGTTAGGTAGGTACCTTTTAGGTAATTAACTTTTTAATATCTTTAATGAGTTACAAAACTTTGATGACAAAATTAAACTATTTAATATTCTTAAACACTAAATAAAAGTCATTTTCAGTTTAACAATGTTCAATCTAACAATTCAAAAAAGGATAGTGACGTCCCAGATTTGTCCCTATTCTAACTCTAATCTCTATTCCCTCGATCTACTGTACTTAATAATTGGTAGCCTAAAAGGCGATTACAGCTAATCACATAGATCAGACATAACTTTTACGCTATCGAGAACGTTAAAAAACTCGCACTAAGCACACTGACCCGCTAACATTTAAAAATGAGAGAGAGAGAGAGAGAGAGTATTCTTTATTGTACACCAAAAAAACAAATAATACAAGTGCGATACATTAAAAACAAAAAGTACAATTGGCGGTCTTATCGCTAAAAGCGATCTCTTCCAGACAACCAGGGATTTTTTAATTGCTCCTCTATTTAAAATTCAAGCAAAGTAAATCTTCCAACTAATAATCCACTGCATATCTTGTATATGCTTGCTTGTCACTGCATATCACGCAAAAATTGGCGTAATTACTAGTAGGCTGCATAGTAACGAAGTATCTGCACGGGTAGAATCCATTTTGTTTTTATTATAAAAATTAAGACATAAATATAAAAATTGAAACAGAAGTATGAAGACGAGTTTGAATGTTAACTGAAAGAAAAAGTATGTGTATTTTTAGCAACAGCGATGTGCTGCCAAGATTGGTTTCCTGAAAACAAGCGAAAGCTTCTAATTTATTAAAACACCCGATCAATAAACTGTAAGATACAAATTGTAATAAATGCTTTTTTATATTAAATTTATAAATTATTTGATTTTAGATGCATGCATTCCCTAAAGGTCTTTCTTCACTAACGTAATATAATATCTATCAATCGTATTTATCTGAACTTTAAATTTATAAAATTGATAAAAGTAATAAAGAAACATTTATTATAATGTGTTTATTAATATTTATCATGCATTTATTACGCAGTATTAACATTTAAATGTTGTTATATTCTATTTCAATAGTAGATTTCGTTGGCCCATTAGCTCAGTTGGTTAGAGCGTCGTGCTAATAACGCGAAGGTCGCGGGTTCGATCCCCTCATGGGCCACGAATGTTTTTTGAAATCTTTTTTGTTCCCTACCCATTCGCTGGTAGCCAGCCTAAGATGGTATTCCAGCTACGCCTCAACGGATAGGTGAGCTCACAGGCTCGACCTGAGAGAATTTGCTAACACTACCCTTAGCAAGAGAAGAAGAGGAACATGAGAAGATCCGGCGAGAAACTCAGCGGGTTTTGATTTTTTTCTTTATCAACCGAATTAATATTGACATGAATAAGCAGTTCGGGCAGACTCATCAGAAACAGCTCCGACAAGAAGCGACGTACTGACATATGAACTCCCTGTCAAAGATCGCCCGATCTGGAACTCTCGGAACGAGCTAAACTTAAGGATTTTGTAAAAGTACATTTTTTTTTGTTTTTTTTTTATTGCTTAGATAAGTGAACAAACTCACAGCTCACCTGGTGTTACGTGGTTACTGAAGCCCATAGACATCTACAACGTAAATGCGCCACGCACCTTGAGATATAAGTTCTAAGGTCTCAGTACAGTTACAACGGCTGCCCCACCCTTCAAACCAAAACGCATTACTGCTTCACGGCTGAAATAGGCAGGGAGGTTGTACCTACCCGTGCGAACTCACAAGAGGTCCTACCACCAGTAATTACGCAAATTATAATTTTGCGGGTTTGATTTTTACTACACGATGTTATTCCTTCACCTTGGAAGTCAATAGTAACATTTGTTAAGTACATATTTCATTAGAAAAATTGGTACCCGCCTGCGGGATTCAAACACCGTTGCATCGCTCGATACGAATGCACCGGACGTCTTATCCTTTAGGCCACGACGTCTTCAAAAATCACAGTTCCGTACACAATAATATGCAATTGTATTTTATATATTACAATGTTACAAATAATTTCCTTGTATGTTCTTATTGTTAATAAGTGAACGCGAACAAACAATATACTATGAAAACAGTATATGTCGTACATTTTTTACTCGATAAGATATCAGTTGGTCGCATTAATTTTCAATAAGCACTGACAATACGTATCGGTCATTATAATATTATTTATAACTATAGATTATTAGTTATAAACCCTACTACCACTCATAAGTTTTGTATTTTATTTGAGGTGCTCTCTTAAATGATAATTGGAAACATCATTCTTGAGTAATACAGATTATTATGTGTATTATTGTGGTGAAAGTTAGTCCTCGCAAATATCTTTAATTACAAATAAAAATTAATGCTCCAACGACAAATAAACTTTATTAATATTCGACAAGTGGTTACAATGATATATGAATATATGATATATGAACATACACATAACATCACACGTAAGAGTGAAACGTCTTAGTTTTTTTTTTCCCTACCTAAGCTGATAGCCTTGAGATGCTATATCAGCATAACCTTAACTAGTAGGTGAGCTCACGGGGCTCAAACCTGACGACGTTGCTAACACGAGCCCTAGCAAGAGCCGTGCTTTGCAGAATCTACTACCGGATCGGAAACGCGAC